ATGTTAATGTGTGTAATATGTGCTACTTCTTACTAAAAATCTCAGAAGAGGAGGCCAGTAACATAAAGGTACGTCGCTGTGCCTATACGGGCTGCCCGTATGCAGTACATTGCGGGAAGATTGTCCTTAAAGCGGAGTGAATAAAAAAAAAATAAAAGTCAGCAGCTACAAAAACTGTAGCTGCTGACTTTTAAAATACAGACATGTGCCTGTCCCTCAGTCCAGCGGTGTCCTCACCACCACTGGTTTTACCGGCCATCTTCTCTCCCTGGCACCAGCATCTTCGGTGTGGGCACCCATCTGTGACAGCTTGCGGCTTCACAGTCGGGTACCCAGAAGTGCTGCACTTTATGAATCGTCCCGCAGTCTTCTGCGACCTGTCACATGTCCCAGAAGACTACGTGGAGGGAGAAAATCTTCCACTTCCGATCGCAGCGGAAGTGAAAGTAGGTACCTGTCAAATTTAGGTATCCGCTACCACCATGCCCACCCCTCCTTCCCCACTGCTCCCCAAAGGTGTCAATCCTTTTCGGGGAGCAAGGGACAAAGCCTTAAAGCGGAACTTCCCCTTTTGGGTGGAGCTCCGCTTTAAGTGGACTTTTCAATCATTATACAAGCCTGCATTAACCAATACCTGACATGTCACATGTACAGCAACAGCAAAAACTCAAACCTTTATCATTAAAGCAATATTAAACCCCCAAAAAACATTTATTATATTGCAGCTTACCAATTCCTACATGTGACAACTGTGTTAGTCTTGTTTTTTAGGCTTTTTTTCTTCTATTTTCATCTGGTGATCCAGCCAGCAAGTCAAGACGAAACATGTAGAGCGGGGCTTGATAGCGCTACACTTGTCCTCTGAGAAGGAATTGCTTTTTGCTGGGATTTAAAGTGCCATACACCTGGTTTTTATGTAAGTGCAATTTTAAGTGTTTTTTACCTAATAAATAAGGCGTTACACTAAGGAAGTTTCCCTTTGATGTTGTTACTGTGGTGGAGGAGTACTGTGGAGGTTCTGGAGTTTTGTCGCAATCGATTGATCTAGATGTGTTTCCACTATGGAGTCTGTCATCAGCGTATAGAGGTGTCAAGACCACACAGATGGCCAACTTTCCTGAAGGAGAGCGCTGCAACATCTTATGCGATATTTACCTACCATTCCAGGTGGTCAATTATCTGTGGTGAGAGGGGCTCTGGAGAGGGAGCACTAATTGGAACGCTACGCACAGAGAATTGCTATGGATAAGATTTACTACTGTATCACTTAATATTCACACCAGATGCGGATGGGTGTTTCTTTGGAACTTTATTTTTTTTTTGGATTTTTTATGTTTGCACAATTATTGGGACTTTAATATGTATATATTGTTTATACAATTTCACTGTATATACAGTTTTATGGCATTGTATATGTGCTATTTTTAGCACTATTGTCATTTAACCTCCCTAGCGGTCTGATTATGTCAGTATTTCTGTGCTCAAAGCGGTACACTTTTTTGCATGGATATATGTTGTTTTTTTATTGTAGGCCTGTAATATTTAGGAGTAACTCACTGAAATTTGTCCGAACAAGAGTCTAGTAAACATCCCGGGTACGAAAAAATTTGAAACACGAAATCATAAATTATAATATAATAAATAATCATAAAAAATAATAATAAATTTAATTAAATAATGTAATCAAACCAAAAACACTGAAATTTTATCTAGAGCGCCAAGTTCCCACATCACTGAGCAAAGTCGCAAAATAATTTTCCGTGTCTGATGATGAATTTCCCCACGAATCATTATCACTCAATTCTGCAAGTGGTTCTAATTTATTATCGCTGTTCTCTAGCTGGTCTAAAACCGCTTTTGACCTAAAGGGACGCTTTTTGGACACCATGGACATTTCTCAGTTTCCAGGCAGAAAAAACAGTAAAAATGCAGGCAGGGCACAGGACAAAGCACTCGGGACAAAATGTATGTGAAATGGTTTGATACAGTAATGCTATACTATGTGATTTTAGTGAATTTAGTGAATGTCATTTTTAAAATTTTTGAATTTCCCGCAGTTCCATCCCCGTACATCCTGACGCTCGCAGGGACCTGAACCCGGAAGACGGATGCTGGCATCGGCCGAAGCAGATGGCCTGGGACACTACAGGAGTGAAGGACAAGGTAAGTGCTGGAGGGATCCTGGAGCAACGCTGCAGGGTAATCCCGAGTGTAGCTCGGGGTTACCGTTTCTGGTACTGAAAGTTAACCCCGAGCTACATTCGGGAATACTGCCAGGGAGGTTAAGCACCTTGTATTTACTTACTGGTTTATTTGGGATTTAGTCACTGGAGAGGAGGGATATAACTGCCAGCCCACGGGGCATTATAGCACATGCACATTTGTGGGGACCCTTTGTGTAGTAGGGAGTTCATTCATTCATTTAATTAATTATTTAAAGTAGTTTTTGGGAGAGGCAGCACGGCAATTTTTATGTCTCCAGCAAAAAGTATCAGTTTACATGGATGGGACAAACCAATTAATACTGGCAGGGGTGAATAAAATGATCAACTTTTATTTATTCCTGCAAAACCGTTATCCCAAACGGTAAAACAAACTGTTTGCTGGAACTGATTATAAAGTGTGAGCTGGAGTTTGGCTTCAATTTGTTGTTGTGTCTAAATCTGCTAATACATTTAACACTCCCCTCCCCAGACTGACAAGGCTGCTGTCCAAAGGTGCCCCCTGTGCTCCTTCATCCAGAGTGGAGGAACAGGAGGTGTGTTTCTGGCCAGATCACCAGGTTAAAACAGAAAGGGGAAAAGCCTTAAAAAAAAAACGAATACAGCCACCACATCTAGTGAATGTTAAGCTGCAATATATGATATTTTTGCTTTTAGATTTAATACCCCGCAGGCCAGAGTACTTAGTGTCATTCTGGACTCCAACCTATCCTTCCAGCTCCAAGTCCAATCTTTAACTAACTCATGCAGACTCCACCTCTGCAACATCGCCAAAATATGCACGTTCCTAACCCCAGAAACCACTAAACAGGTCATCCACTCCCTCATCATATCACGACTCGACTACCGCAACTCCCTCCTCACTGGCCTGCCCTGCCTCGCCGCTGGCTATCCCCGCTTCAGTCGATCCTGAATACGGCTGCCAGACTCATTCACCTTTCCAACCGCTCCATCTCCGCCACCCCCCTCTGCCAATCCCTCCACTGGCTTCCGATTGCACAACGGATCAAATTCAAAATCCTAACACTGACATACAAAGCCGTCCACCATACTGCCCCGAACTACATCACTGACCTAATATCCAAGTATCACCCAGCACGCACACTCCGCTCCTCACAAGACCCTCCTTCTCTCTAGTTCCCTGGTCTCCTCCTCCCATGCCCGCCTCCAGGACTTCTCCAGGGTGTCACCCATCCCCTGGAACTCCCTGCCCCAACCCATCAGATTATCACCTACTCTCCTCTCCTTTAGGCGCACCCTGAAAACCCATCTCTTCAGGGAAGCCTACCCCACCCCCTGCTAACTTGCCGACCTCCTCCACTCTTCCTACCACTCCATCCCCCACAGCTATCTCCTCCTGTGCCACCATCCCCTCCCTCCTAGATTGTAAGCTCGAAAGAGCAGGGCCCTCGATCCCCTCATGTTTTGCATTGTATTGGTATTGTTCTGTCACATGTTCTGTCCCCCTTTGTAATGTACAGCGCTGAGTGAACTATTGGCGCTTTATAAATACTGTATAATAATAATAATACTGCTTTCACCTTTAAATGACAGTTTTTGTGTCCAGCGTTCAGCTTTGTTGGCGTTCCCCGCTATGGTTTGGGACTGACTTGCTGTTTGATACGTCGGCGATGTCCAGATACGTTGATGATTACAATAATAACTGCACACTTGTCACTTTCCATTTATCCTGATGACCCTGACCACCGTAAACAGGTGCTGCTGATTTCCTAGAGCACAGGGCTCTCCATCGGCAGCTGTTTCTTCTCAGCTCACTGTACAGTGAGAACAGAGACACGTTACACACAGCAGATCCCTGTCCTGAGTGCACCATGAAAGGGATAGTCATGTCAGATGATGACCTGAGCAAGCCTGACATAACTCTGGGGCCTTCCTCTCAGCAGGAACCTCTGAAGAATCTCAGCATCTGCTTTGTAATTTGGTGGAGGGAGCTGCAGATGAGCACATCACATTAACAGACATCACTCTCAGTCAGCCTCCTTCTACCATAGAGGTAATAGACTGCACATTGCTTTCTAGGTCACACATAGGTTCCCGTACCTCAGCAGATGGTCAATGTTTTATGCTCCGATGGCTTTTTGTTCAACCAAAGGTAAGCCTGTGATCACATGCACTTCTGATTCGGAAATGCTGTAGATAGCGTGAGTCTGGGATTAACTACTTGACCACCAGGAGGCTTTACCCCCTTCATGACCTGGGCATTTTTTGTTATTTAGCCCTGTGCAACTTTAACTGGCAATTGCTCAGTCATGCAACACTGTACCCAAATGGAATTTATATAAATTTTTCACACAAATAGAGCTTTCTTTTGGGGGTATTTGATCAACACTAGTTTTTTTATTTTGTTATATAAATTAAAAAAGCCCAATAATTTTGAAAAAAAAAAAAAAACAAAAAACAATATTTTCTACTTTCTGGTATAAAACATCCGATAACAAAATAAAAAAATCTGATTTCTTCATAAATGTATTCTGCTACATGGTTGGTACATTAAATCCTAATAAGTGTATATAAATTGGTTTGTGTGAAAGTTATAGTTACATAGTTAGTCTGGCTGAAAAAAAACAAAAGTTCATCCAGTTCAACCAAAAAAAAAAAAAAGTTATAAAACCTACACCCACAGTTGATCAAGAGGAAGGCAAAAAACCCAGCAAAGTATGATCCAATTTGCTCCTGCAGGGGAAAAAATTATTTCCTAATCCCCGGAGAGGCAACCGGAGATTCGCTAGATCAACTTTACCTATAAATGTAAGCAGGGCTTGAAATTTCCACTTGCCTGCTCGCCAATGGCGAGTGGAAATTATGGTGGGGGCGAGTGTGTCCTCCAGGGCCATCTTGCTGAGCAGGCTCGGAGCTCAGGTCGGATCTGTCATTGGTACTGGGAGCCGTCAGACTGCTCAATAGCTGAGCGCAGTGAAAGCAAAGGAAGGAGTGTGTGCTGTGCTCTCTGCCTCCCCCTAGAGTGCAGTACCCGGATCTGTGAGTGAACAACGAAGTACTGCAACTTTTTATGGGGGTGTGTGTGTGTATGTGTACATGTGTGTGTGTGTGTGTACGTGTACATGTGTGTGTTTGTGTGTGTCTGTGTATGCATGTATGTGTCTGTGTGTATGTACATGTGTCTGCGTGTATGTACATGTATGTGTGTGTGTACATGTGTCTGTGTGCATGTACATGTGTGTGTTTGTGTGTATGTACGTACATGTGTCTGTGTGTACATGTGTCTGTGCGTGTGTATTTCTGTGTATGTACATGTATCTGTGTGTATGCGTGTCTGTACGTGCCTGTGTGTGTATACATGTACTTGTATGTGTGTGTGTGCGTGTACATGTGTCTCTGTGCGTGTGTATACATGTTTCTGTATGTGTGTATGTACATGTCTGTGTGTGTGTACAGGTGTTTCTGTTTGTGTGTGTTTGTTGGTGGCGAGTAACTCTAAGGCCTGGCTAGTAGCTCAGGACTTGAAATTTTAAGCCCTGATGTTAGTATCCAGTTCTATTCTGTGTATCTAAGAAAGAGTCCAGGCCTTTTTTGAAACAATCCACTGAGCTGGCCAGAACCAACTCTTGAGAGAGTCTATTCCACATTTTCACAGCTCTCACTGTGAAGAAACCTTTCCGTGTTTGGAGATTAAATATTTTTGCCTCCAGATGTAAAGAGTGCCCCCTTGTATTCTGTGATGACCTCAGGGTGAATAGCTCCACACCGAGTTCACTATATGAACCACTGATGTATTTATACATGTTGATCATATCCCCCCTTAATCTCCTCTTCTCAAGAGAGAATAAATTCAGTTCCTCTAATCTTTCCTCATAGCTGAGCTCCTCCATGCCTCTTATCAGTTTGGTTGCCCTTCTCTGTACTTTCTCCAGTTCCCCAATGTTCTTTTTGTGAATTGGTGCCCAAAACTGAACTGCATATTCCAGATGAGGTCTTACTAATGATTTGTACAGTGTCTACAAACTATGGTATAGATACTGGAATTTACACAGCTATATGACATAAATACCACTTTAAAGTGAACCTGTTAATTCAGAACGCAAACTAAAGCTTACACAGAGCTGAGAAATCTCTGCCAACCCCCCACCTCCCCATGTGTTCAACTACCAAGTACCAGTGCTGAATGAGTTCCATGCTCCAATGTAAATGAAACATGAAGGTGTTTTTCCAGAAAGCTAAACAGCACAACCGTGGAGTAAAGGAGAGATTAGTATGTGCTGATGGCAGGGCCAGCAAAACGTATATTCCCATTAGGTGGGGGTGGAGACAAGGGGGTACCTGTAGGAAAGGTGCAAGGGCCACATGAAATGGCCTGGAGGGCCAGATTCAACCCACGGGCCTTGTGTTTGACACCTGTGACCTAGGATGTCCATATACAGTATAAGAGAGGTCAGTGGAGCTATGGATCTGAGAATCTTTACTTTGCAAGGGAATTTGCCTCAGAGCTTAGTGAAGGGGGTGAAGTTTCACTTTTCAAAGAATTTCCATTCATGTGCAGGGAACCTTTAAAAAAAACATTTTTTCTTGCCCATGATTGTATCGATGGAAGTCAACAGAGCTTCACCTCGTTCATTAAGCTTTGGGGGAAGTTCCCCTGCAATGTGCAACTTCCCTTGAAAAGTGAACAGTCTATTTGCCTTTAATAAATCAATCCCACTGACTCATAACCAGGGGCAAACTGACAACTCATGGGGCCCCGGGCAATAGGGGATCATGGGGCCCCTGTGTCCTCACCCACAGCCAAGTCCTCACCCACAGCCAAAAAAAAAGCCTTTGAAAAAGCCAATTAAAGGTACCAGAAGCATCTCATGGGGCCCTCTACTGACCCCGGGCCCTCGGGAAGTGGCCAAATGGTCAGTCCGCCCCTGCTCATAACAAGTACTGTGTCTGTGCAGTCACTGCATCCCAATTGACAGCAATGGAACTGGCCGTGTTGGGATGCACAGAACACCTGTCATCCTTGTGTGGGTAAAAATGGCCTTCACGCAGGCCAGGGATGCAAACACTCCATGTGACTGCCCTTTACACATCAGCTTGTGCAAGTATATAAACATTTTAACAAGTTCCGTGCCACCCTATAGCAGAAATACTGCTACAGGGTGGCAGGGTGCGCAAAATCATGTATATATATATATATATGTGATTTTGCAGTTCCCGGCTGGGGGCTTGTGTGCGCCCTCGTCAATCACCAGGTTCTGGCAAGTGATTACTCGCCGGCACCCGATGATTGCCGAGTATCTCCGATGGGGGAGAGACCTGTATGTAAACAATACAGATCTATCCCCTGTCAACTCCTGCACACTGCTTTGTATGGCTCTGCATAGCAGAGCCATACAAAGCAGTGTGCTTGCAGTGAAGCACACACACAGCCCACATAGTGAACCACAGTTAACCCTTTGATTGCCCCAGATATTAAACCCTTCCTGCCCAGTGCCATTAATACAGTGTCAGTGCTTTTTATTAGCACTGATCACTGTATTGGTGTCACTGGGGATGTCAGTGAAACCAAGTCAGTTCCCCCCAGTGTCAGAATGCCCATCGCAGTCCTGCAGTCCCACTATAAATCACTGATCACTGCCATTACTAGTAAAAAAAAATAAAAAATTCCAGTATACAGTATATATACACCGCCATTTGTAAATGCTATAAATTTCACGTAAACCAATTAATTTACATGTATTGGGATTTTTTTTAGCAAAGACATGGAGCATAATACATTTTGGCCTAAATTTATGACGAAATTTGATTTTTAACATTTTTTTATTGGACATGTTTAATAGCAAAAAGTAAAAAATATATTTTTCTCAAAATTGTTGGTCTTTTTTTAGAAAACCCACAGGCAATCAAATACCACTGAAAGAAAGCTCTATTTGTGGGAAAAAAGGACGTAAATTTAATTTGGGTGCAGCATTGCATGACCGCGCAATTGTCAGTTAAAGTAACGCAGCGCCGTATCGCAAAAAAAGGCCTGGTCAGGAATGGCGGTAAATCTTCTGGAGGGCAAGTGGTTAAACACCAATAGTCAGGTCTGGTTCTAAGGGGGTGCTAAGGTGAGCTATGCCCCCCAGATTTTAGTTGTGCCCTCCCAGGTCTCTCAGAGTGCATCCACTGATACATGAGCCAATCTGATGGGGGCAATTGATTTAAGGGAGGGCTCTGATGGGGACAGTCGATGTAGAGGGGCACTGTGATGGGGACATTTGATTCAGGTAGGCAGTCTGTTGGGAACACCTGATGTATGGGGACACTCTAATGGGGACCTAAGGTGGGTATATTATGGGGACCGTGATGTAAGGTGGATATCTGATGGGGATATCTGATGTAACGAGGCACTCTGATGGGGACTCTGATGTAAGGTGGCACACTGACAGGACCCTGATATAAGGTGGGAATCTGATGGGGACACCTGATGTAACAAGGCACTCTGATGGGGACTCTGATGTACGGTGGCACTCTGACAGGACCCTGATATAAGGTGGGAATCTGATGGGGACACCTGATGTAACAAGGCACTCTGATGGGGACTCTGATGTAAGGTGGCACTCTGACAGGACCCTGATATAAGGTGGGAATCTGATGGGGATACCTGATGTAAGATGGGAATCTGATGGAGACACCAATGTAGGCTGGGAATCTGATGTGGACATCTGATGTAAGGGGGCACTCTGATGGGACCCTGATGTAAGGTGGGAATCTGATGGGTACACCTGATGTAAGGTGGGAATCTGAAAGGGACATTAATATAAGGTGGTACTCTAATGGGGACACTAAGATAGGTTGGGAATCTGATGTGGACATCTGATGTAAGGGGCACTCTAATGGGACCCTGATGTAAGGCGGCACTCTGATGGGACCCTGATGTAAGGTGGAAATCTGATGGGGACACCTGATGTAAGGTGGGAATCTGAAAGGGACATTGATATAAGGTGGCACTCTAATGGGGACACTAAGATAGGTTGGGAATCTGATGTGGACATCTGATGTAAGGGGGCACTCTGATGGGGACTCTGATCTAAGGAGGCATAGGTTCCATTTAATTATCTTAATCTAATGATCACCTAATACATACTAGCCTTCCCTGTTTACTCCTGCACTACCTCTGCACTACCTGTCAGATGTTACTTCTGGGTCTTGACTCGCGGTACAAAGGTGTACAGAGTGAACAGGGAATACTGGTCACTGTCAGTGACTCAAACACAATGTTGACATTATGCCCCTGACATTTTTTACTGCACCAACAGATCAGATAGGTTAGATCAGATGTGTTAGTATGATAGGATACCCATATGCATGAGACATTAAACATTAAGGAGCTCTCTGTTTTGGGTAGAGTGGTGCAGGATTTGTTCCCCTACGTTCTCACTTCTGTCCACAAACCAGGGAAGGTGGGAAGATTCTCCTTCCCTTCACAGTTGAACTCTTTGGTCAAGCTTCTGTTGTCACCAGCCTAGAGTCCCTTGGATTCCTATAGAAAATCCACTAGGTGCTGAATAGATGGTGCAGGAAACACCATTCTCCCAATAGTGGACTCTCCATAAAAATACATCCAGAGGTGATCACGCTTGCTGGGGCTAGGATAGGTCTTCCTGCTAGGCTCCTGGAAAATAGTAAAAGCTTGACACCACTCCACCAAAAATGGGGGTTTTCTTTATAAAATCATTAGAAGGTTGTAAGAGCAGATATCCAAAAAAGTTATTTTGCAGTGCAGTAATTTCTTGAAAGAAACCCTTTATGAAAGTCACAACATAAGGCATAATCATACACAGGAAATAATGAGAACAAATGACCCAGCGAGTGGATTGTCCTCACGCAGCGCAGACAGGCTAATTGCCTGAACTGACAATTTGCATTTTTATGAGTTTATTCAAAAGATGTAAGAACAGCACCTAGTGACCGAAGAGGGGACTTAAGCAGAAGAGACATGATTTATTTATGTTGGGACATGATAATATGCCAGGATGGATCGGGGGGGTAATACGCACGTACCACTTGCCAGAATGTATTAATAGATAATAACTTTGAAGGTGTACAGGGCGACAGTAAAAATTCTCGTAGAATACAAAGGTTACTTTTAGATAAAAAAGAAATTAAAGGTTCAGTTCATCCTATGGCTGGAAGGTAATGGTGATAATAAGATATCTTGCTGCTGCTGTCCCCAAGAGATTTATAAAGTATGTGTGCAGTAGGTAAAGTGGCATATGAGTGGACTGCTAGTTCACATGGAGCGTATGCATCCCTGCCCTGTATGAAGGCCATGTTTACCCCAGGGGCCGACTGACCATTCGAGCACTCGGGCACTGCCCAAGGGCCCGGGGTCAGTAGGGGGCCACATGAAATGCCCCTGGTACCTTTTATAGGCTTTTTTTGAGTGTGGGCAAGGACATATTGGCCCCATGATCCCCTATTGCCTCATGAGTTGTCAGTCTG